ATGTGAATCTTGTTCAAATCATGATAAACAATGGCTTATGATTCACGAGACGGCCGCGGCGACGGCGTCGTAGCCGCGACAGTGCGGGCTGTCGACGAAGGAGCTCAGCGGGAAGGACGTGGAGACGGGGCCGACGTAGAAGCTGAGGCGGTCGCCGGCGCGGTCCACCTCGGCGACGGGGAGCCACAGGAAGAGTACCTTGACGTGGATGCCCTCCAGCGCCGCGAGCCTGCCCGCGGTGACGGCGCCGGCGATGTGGGCGTCGTACCTGACCAGCCACTGCTTCGCCAGCAGGAACTCGCACTCCCGCGGGAAGTACACCTCGAAGCCGCCGTCCGGGCCGAGCTCGTACCCCTCCACCCCCTCCGGCAGGATGCCCCGCGGGAAGTCGTACCGCTCCAGCATCTCGTACGCCGTTGGCGTGTCCTCCGCCGACGACGACGCCGCGGCTACGGCGACGGCGGCCAAGAGGGCGAGGAGGAGGAGGGGGTAGGTGGCCATGGACGGCCCTGGAAGTCCTTGCTTTCTTTGGGTTTGATTGGGTCCGAGCGCAGCTTTGCTTACTTGACAAATGACAATGAAGGTGTTAGCCTTTGTAGCTTACTGTTGGATGGATGCTCACTTGCTTGTATTTTGTTTACCTTCATACAGAAGTTAGTAATTAAATCATCTTAGTTTATGTTGATCTGCAGGCATATTAATCATCTCAAGAAAAGCATATTTTCGTTGGAAGGGTTTGAATAATTGGTTAGGTTAGCGTGTGTGACCAATCATTGAAGAAGTTGTATGAGTAATTGTAATGCGTGGTGCATATTTTACTGCTCAGGGGTAGCTATATCTTCTTCGTATAAATTACAAATGCACCCCATCTCTGCCTTCTCTTCTAATTATACTCCTAGAGAGTGTGGCTTGATTTGTAGGAAATTACATGTGCTTATCTATTTGTAGGAAATGGCCAAACATGAAAGTGAAGTGGCCTGCCACAGTATTCCTACATGAAAAGTTACTCCTACAAAGAGTGGCTTGCATATGCTGTGTTCATCTACTGTTGATACTGCTAACTGATTTGCACGAATTCCATTCAAATGATCCAAGCAAATTCGTTATTTTCTGCGGCATTAATATATTAAGCCGGATTTTAGTGGATCGGTGACATGACGACATGTCGACATGAAACAATTAGACACAATTATCCACTTGCAAGTGGAGCGTTTGGGACGAGGACTTGCACATTTCTTTAGGGAGGAAGAATCTTAGGAACAAGATGCTAAAAGAATATTACCAAGTTATAATGCGCATCTATTATATAATAAAAATACTTAACGGGCTAATCAGAAGGAAAAAAAACTATACCTAAAGAATCCTATTGTACAAAAACTAGAAATATCCGAACCTCCGTCAGGTGGGACATTACAATGACAAGTCATGGCTAGTGAACGAGATTCGGCCCCAGCCAACACCAACGCCGGTTTGCCATGTCTCCGATGGCATTTTCGCAAAAGGATTTGAATCTATTGTAAAAGTTCATTGAAAGTACAAAGCACCTCAAAAATTACATCGAGATTTTTAGACCCCTCTCAATGCTCCACCTTGTACAGGTGCTAAGACTGTCATGTAGGCAAAAAATCTGATGTGGCAAGGTAATTAAGAGGAGAGAGATGAATGTGGTGACCCCAGAAAGAAACAATGCCAAGCACGAAAACCTAGGCAAAACACTTAAATGGAAGAAGCCCATCATTGCATGAAGAACTTTAGTTACAAAATCATTAAATGAAGGCACCAACAAGTTTAGCACCTATGCATTGGGAGCTTTAGTTGCTAAAAAATTTAATGTGCTTAGACCTCATGTAAGCACCAATGCACTGAAAGCAGCCTTAGACCATTGAACGATCACTACCCTCGTCAGAATGAGCCGCCAATGTGTTGTTGTCGCTGCTCCCACTATCGGAGCTGACTTGACCTTGTCAATGAAAACTAAGAAGTATCCGTGCACGTGCATCTAAGAGAACACACAAAAATAGCCAGACTTCTAGCATGTTATTAATTATGTTAAATCAACGGTAACCGAAAATAGTCATATTTTTTTGGGTCTCCTTGGTTCTTGTGCTGACAAAACATTGGTGTGCCGTCGCAATGTTTGTCATATTTCTTGTGTGCACATAGGACATTCTAGATTGCATGCTTTTTTTTTACTTAGTTTACCTATAGTTTTTCTTTTTACGATTACCTATAGTTTGTTTTAACATTCTAAGTCTGCATCTAGAATATCGGCAAAAAGTATCCAACATTGTTCATATGGTTAACAACAACAACAACAAAGCTTTTAGTTTCAGACAAGTTGGGGTAGGCTAGAGGTGAAACGCATAAGATCTCGCAACCAACTCATGGCTCTGGCACATGGATAACAAGCTTCCACGCATCCCTGTCCATAGCTAGCTCTTTGGTGATACTCTAATCCTTCAGGTCTCTCTTAACGAACTCCTCTCATGTCAAATTCGGTCTACCCCGCCCTCTCTTGATATTCTCCGCACATTTTAGTTGTCTGCTATGCACTGGAGCTTCTGGAGGCATGCGCTGAATATGCCCAAACCATCTCAGACGATGTTGGACAAGCTTCTCTTCAATTGGTGCTACCCCAACTCTATCTCGTATATCATCATTCTGGACTCGATCCTTCCTCGTGTGGCCACACATCCATCTCAACATACGCATCTCCGACACACCTAACTGTTGAACATGTCGCCTTTTAGTCGGCCAACACTCAGCGCCATACAACATTGCGGGTCGAACCGTCGTCCTATAGAACTTGCCTTTTAGCTTTTGTGGCACTCTCTTGTCACAGAGAATGCCAGAAGCTTGGCTCCACCATCCATCTGGCTTTGATTCGATGGTTCATATCTTCATCAATACCCCCATCCTCCTGCAGTATTGACCTCAAATACCGAAAGGTGTACTTCTGAGGTACCACCTGGCCATCAAGGCTAACCTCCTCCTCCACACACCTAGTAGTACCGAAACCGCACATCATTTACTCGGTTTTTGTTCTACTAAGCCTAAACTCTTTTGATTCCAAGGTTTGTCTCCATAACTATAACTTCCTATTTACCCCATCCGACTATTGTCAACTAGCACCACATCATCCGCAAAGAGCATACACCATGGGATATCTCATTGTATATCCCTTGTGACGTCATCCATCACCAATGCAAAAAGATAAGGGCTCAAAGCTGACCACTGATGTAGTCCTATCTTAATTGGGAAGTCATCAATGTCGACATCACTTGTTCGAACGTTTGTCACAACATTATCGTATATGTCCTTTATGAGGGTAATGTACTTTACTGGGACTTTGTGTTTCTCCAAGGCCCACCACATGACATTCCGCGGTATCTTAACATAGGCCTTCTCCAAGTCAATGAACACCATATGAAAGTCTTTCTTTTGCTCCCTATATCTCTCCATAAGTTGTCGTACTAAGAAAATGGCTTCCATGGTCGACCTCCTAGGCATGAAACCAAACTGATTTTTGGTCACGCTTGTCATTCTTCTTAAGCGGTGCTCAATGACTCTCTCCCATAGCTTCTTTGCATGACTCATCAGCTTAATTCCACGGTAATTAGTACAACTTTGGACATCCCCCTTGTTCTTGAAGATTGGTACTAATATACTCCGTCTCCATTCTTTTGGCATCTTATTTGCCTGAAAAATGAGGTTGAAAAGCTTGGTTAGCCATACTATCGCTATGTCCCCGAGACCTTTCCAAACCTCAATGGGGATACAATCAGGGGCCATCGCCTTGCCTCCTTTCATCCTTTTTAAAGCATCCTTGACCCCTGGATTCACCGCACAAAACGCATGTTGGTCTCATCAAAGGAGTCGTCCAGCTCAATGGTAGAACTCTCATTCTCCCCATTGAACAGCTTGTCGAAGTACTCCCGTCATCTATGCTTAATCTCATCGTCCTTCACCAAGAGTTGGCCTGCTCCGTCCTTGATGCATTTGACTTGACCAATATCCCTCGTCTTCCTCTCTCGGATCTTGGCCATCTTATAGATGTCCCTTTTGCCTTCCTTCATGCCTAACCGTTGATAGAGATCCTCATATGCCCGACCCCTTGCTTCACCAACAGCTCGCTTTGCGGCCTTCTTCGACATCTTGTACTTCTCTATGTTGCCTGCACTCCTATCCAGGTATAGGCGTCTGAAGCAATCTTTTTTCTCTTTAATCACCTTCTGGACATCATCATTCCACCACCAGGTATCCTTATTTTCGCTTCTCCTTTCCTTGGACACTCCAAACTCCTTCGAGGCCACCTTACGAATGCAAGTCGCCATCTTCATCCACACATTGTCCGCATCCCCTCCTTCCTCCCAAGGGCCCTCCTTAATGACCCTCTTCTTGAACGCCTGAGCTACCTCCCCCTTGAGCTTCCATCACTTTGTTCTAGCGACTTTGGCACGCTTATCCCGCTGGTCACGAATCCGAAAGCGGAAGTCAGCAACCACCAGCTTATGTTGGGGTACAACACTCTCTCTAGGTATCACCTTACAGTCTAGCACGCACGCCTATCTTCTCTTCTCAAGAGGATGAAATCAATCTGGCTAGAGTGTTGGCCACTACTAAAAGTCACCATATGTGATTCTCTTTCTAAAGAGAGTGTTAGCTACAATCATGTCGTAGGCTAGAGCAAAGCTTAAGACATCTTCTCCTTAAGCTTTACACTTATATTTTAGTTGGATGTTATGAAGTTCAGCAATTAGGATTTGCAATAGGCATACCAACTTGTATTTAGAACAAAGCATATATGATATGTCAGCAGCCAAGATCGCTCACCTATAAAATACCAATAAAATGAAAAGATGAAACCGAAGATGCGTAAATTTCTCATTTTTTTTCGATAGTACATCACATGATACATACTCCCGCCAACTAAGACAAGGCCAAGCGCCAGGTTTACATGTAACCAAAAAGAATGGAAACCCACAAAAATTATATCAAAACTATGCAACACAACAATACAGGTTTTTCGACGAGCCTGCCAAATCGCTCAGCGCTCCGCGTATAAATGCATATATGCAAACCCGGATAACACAAAGCGTTGGTCCCAGTTTATCCACTTTGATGCGGAGACCACCGCCTTCGGCAGAAACAGCAGTATCTGGCTGCTTCAGCTCCTGGATCCTGCCGTATGAGCTGCCATGTCCAACATCCAATTCAAATGAGCAGCTGCACACTTGGACTCAGCACTCCATGCAGAGGTTCAACCACAGAAGACATAGAGTAATTAATACTCTGCTAATTCCTACTATGACCTTCCAGCTGAGATGGCAGACGATGCGTGTATCTCCAAGGAGTGCTCCGGTATGTACGTAAGACCTGTGGTGCAAAGATGCATGGCGTGAATCAGCAGCCAAGACAGAGCATACTTGAGGTTTGGTCGCACCATAGAAACACTATCTTAAAATTTATTCTGCAAATGCAAGATTTTAATCTGATGAATCTGGCGGATTCAGACTATGACAGGTATTACCTCCATCCCAAATTACTTGTCTTAGATTTGTCTAGATACAGATGTATCTAACAGTAGAACGTGTCTAGATACATCCATATCTAGACAAATCTAAGACAAGTAGTAATTCGGAATGGAGGGAGTAGTAAACAGTAGCAATAACAAGTTCTGCTCCCTGGGTAGGCACTATATCTAACTGGTAAGCTAATGATCTCTACTTCGCTTTTTTCATGAAATTTTACCTTTCTCCTTTATGGTTATTTGCAATGTATCTAGTGTAATGATCCCATCTGTTAACGGGAGTAGCTCGAGCTTGACAGTGGTGCTTGACCGTGCAGGAACACACCTGTTAACAACAACAAATGCAATTCTTCAGCATACCGACATGCCGTGCTGTAACTCTCAACATATGGAAAAAGGCAAGAATGGATAGCCATACCCTAGGGGAACTGCACTCTGCAACCACAAATGAGTACAGCCTGCTGAAGTGCTCATTCTATTTCCTCCATTGTCACTTTCTTTTGGAGATCCGACAACAACAGAATTCAGTCTCCGAAAACCAGTTCCATGTTTTCCCAAGCCAGACCTTCTCATAGGCTCATTAAGATTATCATAAGAACCATCAGGTGTGGTTGGAGCTGAGTTCAATGATACAACTGAAGAAGAACCAGATGCTTCTGGAGCAAGAACAGTTAATGTGAGGTTTTCTGAAGTCATATTAGTAGCTTCAAGGGTTAAGACCTGAAAACCAACAATTAACACTATCAGTGCGAGGCATGGAAAATGCAACAAGACCTAAAGAAGCACCGAAATAACCTGCACAGGGAGTTGAGGAACTCGAGCACTCGGGCTAGGATTTCGTAATGACAGTTCAGAAGACACAGAGATCATAAGATCACTAGCTGCACAGGGTTGCCAGCTTGTGGCTTGCTTGAAGAAAAGTTTTGATTCTACAGAGGATAAAAAGGGTGAAAGTCAGAATTATCAACCTACACTTGTTCTCAAGCACATGTTCTATGTTTCCAACAGTTCACCTGTATAATTGCAGCGATATGATATAAGTACAGCATACTGATCAGTAAGACCAGCGCTGGGCTCGCTAACCCTAGGCGTGGAAGTATTTGTGCCAGCTCCACTCAACTTTGGGAGTGACAAAGTCAGAGGTACATCGCTGTTGATCCTCCGATCCCTGGAGGACATAATTGCTGGCTTCAAAATAAACGAGTGCTCTTCACCCCGCCTGGAAGGAAACAAGTATACTTAAGATATATGGAAACCGTTGGTCTTTGGCAGAGACTTCAAACCAAGATAGTGTATGTAATGCGATACATCTTCCCGTGTTTATTGCTTGCATAAATAACTAAAAAGAACCATGTGAAAGTAAGGTTTGGCCCAATCCAGCATTAAGGAGACCAGACGGTACTGCATGTTATAAAAAACCAACTTGTTCAAACAAAAACTGAAAACTAAGAGAAAGATGAATAACAGCGATAACAATGCAACACGTTGCAAGAATTTCTTTGCTAAGAAAAAGGCAAGGTCAAAGTACTGCAGTCTGCAAATCCAAAGGGGAATCAATTTATGGCAGAAACCACGTCATACTTAAACTTTAAGCTGCAATTGTGGGTCTTTGGAAGCATCCATGAGAAACTTTGCATGTACCTGAGTGACAGATTTGGTAAACTGTGACCATGTCCGACCTCAATACTGGCAATTGGTAGAGATAAAGGAGAGCCTCCTCTGGATGCCTCCTCAAAGACAACAGTAATTGCATCTATGAATACAACTATGTCTTGCACATGCCGTGGAGCAATGTTCTGAGAATTGAAGATATAAGCATTAGTTTTGAAAGTTCTTCAGAAACTATGAGAAAAATGAAGGATTTGGATGTCCATAGTAACCTTTATTAAGACACAAAGAAGATTTTCTGCAGTACATTTGGCAGAAAAAGAATGAACTTCGATTGGTTGAATTATTTCAACTTTTCTTGACCATCTTTTCCCTGGTAGATATACACCTTCTAGACCACAGCGTACAGAATACCGTTCAGGCTCCAAAGGAACTCCTCTAAAGGAAAGCTGCCCATCATTTATAACATCAGGTGTTTTTGCAGGCTTTTCAGGCACAAATTCTTGATTTTCAGATATTGGGGGTGATCTTAAGTTGGGAAGCTGGGCAAGGGCAAAGGAGGATGAAGGCATTGAATAGCTTCGGAAATGACTTAATGAAAATATTTGAGACCCAGGAGCAGAAAAAGATTGCTTGTGTGATATACTGGGATTGAGAGTAGGAGGTGATAAAGAACGAGGAGGAGGTAGTGTGCGATCTAAAGGGAGCAACCAGCTAAGCAGCTCCTGACAAGGATCCTCATAACCATTAGGAAGCCCGTTTACAAGATTCTCACGCATATAATTGCTCGATGTACACTTCTCAAATTGAAGAACTTCAAGCACTGGATCTACCATATTGCTAACACCAACATTCACTTGCAAAACAACCTGCATCCTTCCAACAGAGAATATGAGTGATTAATCAGCACAAACATAAGCAACCCAGAATCACACAAAAGTACATGAATGAAAGCTAACTGCATGGTAGCACCATCAACTTCTTTGTGAAGTTGCTTTCTTTAAAATAAAACAAAATAAACATGTGCGTCTAATAAACTAATAACAAACATGATTAGCATATAGACAACTGCAGTAGTTGTGCAAAGGATTTTTACATAAATTTGCTTAAAGCGTATTAGCTGATTTCACCAAAGATGGTGAGACATAACTCTGAACTTTGCAGGACCCTACTTACCACCATGACGGATATAAAGGTGCATTAGATGAAGAGAAGCAATGTATTCAAGGCAGTTGTCAATTTGCCAAAAGTGATGCAGTAAGGTAGTAGATTTCAGACCAGTCTCCAGGCATCAAGTAGATGGCTGTGGAACCAAAATTATAGTGCTCCCTCCATCTGGATATATAGGGTCTAATACGTATTTCGAGTTTTACATTGACTATCGATAAAATCAATAATATCTGCGAGAGACATGCTATAAAAATTATACCATTGGAAACCCCTTTCAAATATGAATTCGACGATATAATTTTTTAACATACACATCATATATGATTGGTCAACTATTTATGCATAGTCCATAAACTTCTCAAAGTTAATCATTGCAAAAAAGAATCTAGTGTATAATGTCACCCAGCAAGTAAGCAGACGGATCGTTCGAAACATACCACGATGTCTCCATTCTGCAGAGCATAGCACCTTACAGTATCCCGAGCGACTCCTCCGGATGTGCTACCATCAAAAACTCCTTTATCAGAAATGGTATTGTAAGCAGTACTCCTTGAAACTGTGTTATTTCCCTGGCTATCCGAATATAATTGTTCATCTGCCGTCTTAGTTGCAGCTACTCTTTTCTTGGACCAGAGAGGTTCATCTGACTCCGCAATTCGAACAAAGAAGTTAGATCTTTTGAATTTTTGCAGCACGGTTTCTATTTGCTGTTTGCGATCTTCCATCCGAAGGAGGGATTCAGTCTCCAGAATATCTTGTTTTGAAGGGGAAGATGCTTTGTCGTTGAGTTCAACACTCTCCATGTTATCCTCAACACCGTGAGAACTATTTTCTCCGGCTGTTCCATTTGCATCCCCATTCTCACTGACAGAGCTAGATTTATTTGTGGGGTGCCGCGGCGAATTTCCGCTCTTAGACATCACGGCAGCAATTCTAAACGGAGATATGCAGGTCGTATCTTGCTGAGAGGCTGATAGGCACGCCAGTATATGAACCTGCTCGCCTGATATAACCAAACTAATTCAGATACCAAAACAAAAACAAAGAAACAGGCACAGGCAGCAAGATGCACTCCAGTAACTTCAGCAGGGGAAATGCATTTACCAGGAAAGAGGAAGGGGCGGTCCAACGGCCGCAGCTGCAGCATGTCCGAAACCTCACTCCAATCCCCAGGAAGCTCCTCTGCGGAGGTAAATTGTGAATCAGTAAGCTACCGGGCTGGCATTTCCAAGGAGAAATGTGGCAGTGGTGAATCTGCAATGCAACGAGGAGAAAGGCCAAGCAAGGGGAAAGGGGCACCAACTGTTGGGAATCGTGATCCACCCTTCGTCCTGGGAAACATCGCTGTGCTTCCCGGCCGGAGCTGTACTTTTCGAATCTGAAGAAGCGGAAGGAGAGGAAGCGGCGGTGTCGCCGCCGATCTCCCCGGCTCCGTTGCTGGCAGCTTCGTCGTCTTCCGCCGCGGCGGAGATGCGGAGCGGATCGTCGGCGATGAGGCCCTCCAGGGTCTTGAGGACCCCCTGCTGCTCGGGGATCCGCGGCAGCTCGGGCTGCGCGGCTCGGTAGAGGAAATTCATGGCCGCTCGCCGTCAGCCGCGCGAGCAAGAGGGGTCCGGAATGGCCCTGGCGGGCGTCCTGGGTCGACCTCGCGCGGCAGAGCGAGGGCAGCCGAGGGCGGTCCGAGCCCGCCGGGCCCCCGCGCGGCGGCGCGGGTCGGGGGACGGGGATCTCGGGGTGGGATCGCGGGGGGTGCTGGGAGGGGAGGAAGAGCTGCGTCCTGCTGGTGGAGTCGTGGGTGGTGGTGGTTGTGGTGGGTGGTCCCTCGGCGTCGAGCGGGACAGGCAGATCTGACTGAGCCGGAGACGACGATGATCCATGGCTTAAACTAATCTTGCTCCCCCCTCGTTGCCAACTAGCACAGGGCCCAGCCCAACTCGCGGCCCAAACAGCTGGGCCCAGCCATTTCTGTTTGTTTCCTTCGTTCTTCTTGCGTACGGCGGATTCTTTTATGCTGGATCAAGAGAAAAAAATTGTTCATCCTCATCGCGACACACTGCAGATGCAGCTCCTCTCATCTCAGATTTTACCACACTTGCATCGACATGGATTTTGGCAAAACCCGTAGGTGGCGCCCTTGGCCTTGCCGTTGTTCTTCTACTCTCAGCTGACTCCCTTGCCTCCTTTTGCATTGACATCTTAGTTCAACAATAAATCTTTCGACGAACTCATATGTAGTTGAGGGACTTTGATAAAAAAATTCGTGTATAATTTTTCTTCGTGCCCATCATATTGTCCACAAGGTGACTGATAACTTGATAAAAGCCTCATGTGATAATGTATCAATCATCGCAAACAACCACTGCTTGGCACTCGGTTCAGTAGTCTCGCATAAGTGCTGAGCCAACTCACCATCGACAAGCGCCCAGACGCACCTTGACATGGTGCACTCGAGCAACGAGTGTCTCCAAGAGTTCGCCGCACCACACAGAGCGCAAGTGCTGGTAGTGAACATTTTTCTATGAGCCCGTACATCCTCTCTAGTAACGAGTGTTTTGCTAGTCTCCATAGGAACATACGTATTTTCCCTAGGATGGGTGTCTTCCAGAATATTTTTCACGACATCACATCCCTGTCAGTACGGGAGGAACTGGCAGATCCATCAATCCATGCTTCCCGCCTATACTTTGTAGCAATCATCATTTTGGAAGCTGATCTCACGGTGTAGCAGGCACTCTTCTCAAAATACCACGCCCAGCTATCTTCTACCTCACTTGTACAGATCGGGATATTGAGAACAGATGGAATGTCAATTGGTAAGCACACCTCCTCTAGTCGTTCCATGTCTCATCTTGCAGATGTATGGTCAATAAGTTCTGTTACAAGCAAAGGAGGGTTGGCCACAGATACGTCTCCAACGTATCTATAATTTATAAAGTATTCGTGTTGTTATTTTATCATTCTTGGATGTTTTACAATTATTTTATAGCAACATTATATCATTTTTCGGACTAACCTATTGACCCAGTGCCGAGTGCCAGTTGCTATTTTTGCTTGTTTTTTACAACGCAGGAAATCAATATCAAACGCAGTCCAAACACCGCGTAATTTTTTGAAGATTTTTTCTGGACCAGAAGGAATCCAATGGCCCTGAGCTGCACCTGGGGTGACTCGAGGGGGGCACAACCCACCAGGGCGCGCCAGGGCCCCCTGGCGCGCCCAGGTGGGTTGTGCCCACCTCGGTGGCCTCCCGCACCCCCTCTTTGCACTATAAATTCCCAAATATTCCGAAATCCTTCAGGGTAGCCCTAGATCAGAAGTTCCGCCGCTGCAAGACCTCTGCATCCATGAGATCCAATCTAGACCCCGTTTCGGCACCCTGTCGGAGGGGAGAATCATCACCTGTGGCCATCTTCATCATCCCGGCGGCCACCACGATGAGGAGGGAGTAGTCCACCCTCGGGCCTGAAAGTTTGTACCAGTAGCTATGTGTTTAATCTCTCTCTCTCTCTCTCTCTCTCTCTCGTGTTCTTGATGGCGCGATCTTGATGTATCGGGAGCTTTGTTAATATAGTCGGATCATATGGTATGTTCCCCTCTCTATCTTGTTGTGACGAATTGAGTTTTTCCCTTTGAGATTTCGTTGTTATCGGATTGAATACTTTTATGGATTTGAGAACACTTGATATATTTCTTGCAATTGAATACTCGTGGTGACAATGTTTTGGCACTCAACTGGCGGGTTCCCAAGGTGACATTGGGGTAATCTATGCATAGAGGTTGATGCACGTTCTTGTCTTTGTTTCTCCAGTAGAAATCTTGGGGAACTCTTTGAAGTTCTTTGTGTTGGATTGAGTATTATGAATATGAATTTGCTTTGGTGTTATTTTAGTACGAACTCTAGGATAGATCGAACGGAAAGAATAGCTTTGTGTTATTTTAGTACGAACACTTGAATAGATCGAATGGAAAAAATAGCTTTGAGGTGGTTTTGTACCCTACAAACAATTTATTTTTATGTTCTCCGTTAGATAGGAACTTTGGAGTGATTCTTTATCGCACATTGAGGGATGGTTATATGATCCAATTATGTTAGCATTGTTGAGAGATTGCACTAGTGAAAGTATACACCCTAGGCCTCATTTTCCATCATTGCAATACCGTTTTTGTGCCTGTTTACTATTTGTTACCTTGTTGTTTTTGTTTATTCAGATTATAAATATATATTTCCACCATTCATATTACACTTTTATCACCATCTCTTCACCGAACTAGTGCCCCTATACAATTTGTGGTTGTATTGGGTGTGTTGGGGACACAAGAGATTTCTTGTATTTGGTTGCAGGCTCGTTTGAGAGAGACTATCTTCATCCTACACCTCTCACGGATTGATAAATCTTAGGTCATCCACTTGAGGGAAAATTGTTACTGTCCTACAAAACTAAGCGCTTGGAGGCCCAACACGTGTCTACAAGAATAAAGTTGCGTAGTAGACATCAAGCTCTTTTCTGGCGCCGTTGTCGGGGAGGTGAATGCATGAAGGTATATCTTTAGATCTTGCAATCGAATCTTTTAGTTTCTTGTTGTATCACTAGTTTGGTTTATAAAAAGAAAACTACAAAAAAAATGGAATTGATGTTGCATCATATTGTTCGTCTTTATAATATCTTTCTTAAAAATGATGGAAAGAAAAATTGTGCTCAATTATTAGAAGAAGAAGTCAATAAAATGTTTGTCACAAAATATTTGAATGAGCATGATTGCAATATTGTTGGTATCAACTCTTTGAATATCCATGATGCTAACGATATGCAAAGCCATAAGCTTGGGGATGCTATGTTTGATGAAGATGATATTTTTAGTCCCTCAAGTTTTGATATGCAAATTTGTTATAATGGTAGCACGCCTCCTAGTTATGATGATTATAATGATGAAAGTGGATCCAAAGAGGTCATGCCTTTATTTAATGATGAATACACCATTTTGGATGAGGCTTCAATAGACTATGCGAACAAGGTCGCTACCTATGATGATTATGGTGATGACATGTATGCTATATTGAATAATTATACCCATGAAACTTGTCATCATGATTTTAATTTTCAATCTCATGATAGTTATTTTGTTGAGTTTGCTCCCACCACTATTCATGAGAATAAATTTGCTTATGTGGAGAGTAACAAAATTGCTATGCTTATGTGTCATGAAAATAATAATTTATGTGATGGTTATATTATTGAATTTCTTCATGATGCTACTGAAAATTATTATGAGAGAGGAACATATGCTTTTACATATCTCAATAATATCAAATTTCTTCTCTATGTGTTGATTGTTTTAAAGTTGCACTTGTTTTGCCTTCCTATGCTAGTTGATTCTTGCTCCCATAAATTATTTGCTCACAAAATCCCTATGCATAGGAAGTGGGTTAGGATTAAATGTGCTTGCCATGTGTTTCATGATGCTCTTATTATGTTTCAGTTCTTATCTTTTATGCGAGCATCATTGAAATCATCATGCCTAGCTAAAAAGGCATTAAATAAAAGCGCTTGTTGGGAGGCAACCCAACACTTACCCCTACTGTTTTTGTATGTTCACATGATTAGGCTACTGTAGTAATCATGTTTTATTGTCTTTGTTTCAATAAAGTGCCAAGTACATCCTTTGGGATCATGTTGGGTGATAGTTGATTTGATCTTGTTCAAAAACAGAAACTCTTGCGCTCACGAAAATAGCTCTAATTTTTAACAAAAGAGTGCTTTTGAGTTGATTCTTTCTGCATAAAATTAATATACAAATTTCGCACGTGGTCCAATGTTTTTCATAATTTTTGGAGTAGCAGAAGTATGGTTTGAGTACAGATTATTACAGACTGTTCTGTTTTTGACAGATTCTGTTTTCAATGCATAGTTTGCTTGTTTCCTTGTTTCTATGGCTTATATTGCTCAATATAAATTGTGAAAATGATATACTACAATAGGCATTGTGTGGAAACAATTATGAATCTCTTCTTTGACAGTGCCAAAGTGGAATGGTCTGCTCTTTATCATACTAACCTATCTCACAAAGTTCCGTTAAGTTTTGTGTGATTGAAGTTTTCAAGTTTTGGGTGAGATGTCGATATGTGGAGAATAAGGAGTGACAAGACCCTAAGATTGGGGATTCCCAAGGCACCCCAAGGTAATATTAAATGAAGATCCAAGCAACTAAGCTTGGGGATGCCCCAGAAGGCATCCCCTCTTTCATCCTCAACATTATCGGTATCCTCACTTGGAGCTATGTTTTCATTCGTCACATGATATGTGTTTTCCTTGGAGCATCCATTTATTTTGCTAGGATTTTCTTGCTGTTATTTAGAATAATGGTTTGCATCTTTTATTTCAATAAAAGTGGCAATGATAGCTTTTGCCATGCTTATTTTGCAAGGATACTTGTTGCTGTTTGAAAACAGGAAGTTTATCGATGTTGCAAAATTCCCTAGAAAAGTCAGAATATGATAAATTGTTGAAACTTTTTGAAAATAAGCTCTGATAAATTTTCTACAGTGTAGTATTTTTCTCATAATTTTTGGAGTTAGGGA